TAGGCAAACATTTTCGAATCAAACAAAAGAATTGATTTGTAATAATGCTATAATATCAGTGCTTCTTGTCAAATAATACTAAATTATAGTAAACATAAACAAATTTAATATCATACAACAACTTAAGAAAAGAAAACAGTAAGCAGCTCTGATTTTTCAGCTCTCAAAGCGCCTCTTATAACAACTTCAGATGTGTATATATGATTTTTCTGCAACAAAACTTGTTCGCAATTTAGATAATATTTCAGTATTGTTTGAGAATAACAAAGAAAGTACAACGTAATACTGTGATCCCCATAGCATAATTTATAATCTCAATAAGTTGTTGATGCATGAATCCCATATTCTGTGTCCCAAAGAAGCCAATTGCTCTGGGTCCTTGCTGCTATTTTTTTAGAACTTGGCTATGGATAAGTAAATGAGCAAAAGTTAAGTATAAAGACAACCATATAGATAATTGTATAGCAAAGTAGAGTAAGAGTTCTGAATTAAAATTTGATGCTTGAGCAATGTTGAGCAACGTGCTACAAAACAAAAAGTTATGCAAAAAATATTTGTAGTGTGACAAAAAGTTAACCTCATACTACAAACAAGAAAATTATACAATCCATTAAATAATATAAAAATACATATTATATGAAATAAAGCATTTTGTAAAAGATAGGTAAGAAAATCATGTCATCTACGTCTTATTGTAACATATGCTGATCTACCACATAGTTCAGGCAGAGGCGCTAGAGATGTTAGGCTCAACCAACCCTTGACCCTAACCCTCGAAACGATCAATAGTTTCTATATCTCACATACAGAGAAGAAGATGCACATTCATATTCATAGGGATAAGAATCCGAGCTAGAATAGACAACAATTGAATCATAGTTGAGTAAATAAATTTTCATTCATTTCATAATTAATTCTCATATTGCTATTAATGATTTGACCTAGAGCTAATTTAATCTTGGTTATGGTTAGGTCTAAGTTTTCTCATATTGCTAAATCTGTGGGTTATCGAGCCTCTGTTGCGCGGGATTTAGTTGAGGTTGACATCACAAAAAAAATATTCGGACGAAGTCTGGCTTGGCCCTGAAAAGTTTGGTTACATACAAATGATTGAGATGGATGTTTTTCTATCATTTTTTTATTCTTGTAAATGCATTGGGCATGTTAGGGGTGAATGTTCCTCCCATTCCTTTGTTCTGAATACTGATCCTCCTATTATGTCTAATCCCACTCTGTCTGATGAGAATGCCATTGTAAATGCATTTGCTTCTATGAATATTGTCGATTTAGATGGAAATCCCCCTCTTATTTAGCCCTCTAAAGGTATTTGTGGTGTTGGAATGGTGTTCGGGTGTGGAGAAGCTGATGTTGTTAGTGATATTTATATACAAGCTGTTGATTTTCCCTAGGTTACATGTGATATTGAGCTTTTGTATGAACCTGTGCTTTCAACCCCTCTTATTGATGGTGTTATTGCATCATATAGTTTGGTTGCTGCTGATGTTTCAACTAAACCATTTGATAATTAATTTAGATCCTCAATCGGTTGGTTTAGATCACCCACTTGATGACATGGTGGAAGATGTCGTTGACAGGGTTAGTTCTCCCAATGATAACGTTGACAGGTTAGTTCTCCCAATGATAACGTTGTTTCTGATGCAAATCAAAATGTGGATGGTGGGCATTGTCTAGGTAATGCTTTGGATTGGCTTAATATAGATTTGTGTGATGTTAACAAGGTCATTTTAATTGAGTCTTCAAGCGATTTTATTGATATCATTTATGTCTCACCCGTGGCTATCTTTTTTTTTTTTGGGTTTGCAGTTGACTCTTTATGTGGACATTTTAAGGGAAATGAGCATATTGTTGATGTCCCTATTTCAGTTGTTTCTAATGCAGAATTGAAATCTCTATTGGCTTTATCTTTAAACAATGATGACCAATCAAATTGGTCGGAGGATTCCTACTTGGTGTGCAGGGGTGCCGTGGGTGATTTAGGTGTTAATGTGGATGAATTGCAAGAGACGTATGCTTTGCAGGTGGGGCACATTGTGCATGAGACCTCCCATTGCTATGGGAAGCGTTGTAAGAGAAAATCAAAGAAATAACTTTGTTGGTGCTCTTCTTGCTATTCATGATGGGAGCTTATGTTGACCTTCAGGCATGTCTTTCTTGGATTGCTGTGTTGGTTGGAGCGTGGTATGGATAGTGGTTTCTTCCAGTTGTTTCTTTTGGGTGGTCTTGTTGCTGTTATTGTTTACATTGTTTACCTTTATTTTTTGTGTATTGTAATAGTTTGAATCAAAAGCTCATAGGTTCTCTTTCTATTGATGTATGTTTAGACGGCTGTTGACTCAGTTCTTGTATGTTTTCTTTTTAATTATCTTAACGCATAAGCCCCTTTGTGTGGGTTTTATCCAAAAAACAAAAAAAAGAAAAGGTTAAGGCTAAGTTGTAAAACCTTGGCTCTCTTAGATAAGATATTGAGTCGAGCCAAATTTGTTTTGTTTCACTTTTCAAACAACTTTTAACATTCAAGTCTAATTTAAATGAATAGATTGATAAGTTATTATGTAATTATTATAATACATTTTTTGAATTAAATGATTATAATTGTAATTAAATATATATTTTTAATTGAACCTTTACATAATTAAACTAATGGAGAAAAATTAAAAATAGGAAATAGTATTTAGATGTCAAATGTTCTACTTTGTTTTTTAGATATTTAAATTAAATGTTTAAAATATTAAAAATACTATAATAAGAAGAAAAAAATAATTTTTTAAAATTAATTGTTTCAAGAATACATGGAATAAATAAAATTTGAAAAATTATTGATTTTATGGAAGTTAGTTGATTTTACTTACTATGTTAAATAAATAAAAATCGTTACATTTTTGAGAAAGCTCCTTTTTAAAACAATAATAATATTTCATCTTAAATATTATAATAATATAACAAACTTTTTTTGCTAATTTAATTATAATTTAATTTCTTTTTTGATTTTTTTAAATGATAAATAATAAGTAATAAAATACCTAAATTTTTTTAGTGGATCCTTCCCAAAAATATATATGTATTTTTTAATATAAATTATGAGCAATTAAATTATAAAATAAATGATTCTAACTTTGAACGGCCTTCCCCACCGCCCGGGAGCAGTTACCACGACAATAATACGCTGCTTTCCCGGCTTTTATTTCTCCAATTCGCTCTCCTTCTCGCAGCGTGAATTGGCCTCTGATTCTTTTCCTTCAATCCGGACTCAAATTCCTCAGTGAAGCAGGCCTGGTATGTCCTTCATCTTTTGGATTCATTTGCTCTACTTGATTTCTAAGGAGATTTTTTTTTCCTCTCTAGATTCATCCCGTGTTTGATTGATGCTCGATTTGTTTTTGATAATTATTTCCTGTTGGAGGGCTTGTTTTGCTCATTTGGACCTAAGGTTTGCTGAAATGATTGAAACCTCTAACGTAATAGGAGGATTTGATCACACATAACAAAGTGATTCTAATTTGTTTTCTCTCTGCACGCATTTGCATAATTTTTTGTTTTGGTTCAGAAATAAATACAGGTGCCTACGTGTAATATTCCTATTGGATTACGATAATATATATTTGTTATTGATGTACTGATATGGACGAGGTAATTGGAAATTTCTTACGAGAAGGACTTCAGCCAGCAGAAACAATGATAACCCACCTAATTGAAATGGAGATGGATTATATAAACACTTCACATCCAAATTTTGTTGGAGGAAGTAAGGCTGTGGAGATTGCACATCAACAAGTCAAGGCCTTAAAACTAGCGGCATCAGTTTCTAGACCCAAGGATGGTTTAGATGGTCATAAGTTACAAGCATCTGAAAGGAGTCAAAAATCTCGTGCCATTCTTGCTAGGGCTGGAGCAAATGGAGTTGTTCATGATCAGGCTCTGGGAGCACGACCTATTTTAGATTCTGACAGATCGGGCTCAGTTGGAAGTTCAAGTGGAAGTGGACCCAGATGGGGAATTTCATCCATTTTTTGGGTTTGTGAAAATCGTGCTCCAGCAAAAGAGATCTCTTCGAACAAGTCTGTAAATGTTCCTTCTCACAATGTGGAACATTCACTATCCATGATCCAACTAAGAGAGCCTCCAACCATCTTGAAGCCTTCAGAAAGTCAATCAGAACAGGAGGCTTTGGAGATTTCCATCACAAAATTATTGCTGAAATCTTACTATGACATTGTTAGAAAAAATATTGAAGATACTATACCAAAGGAAATTATGCACTTCCTGGTTAATCATACAAAAAGAGAGCTACGCAATGTTTTTATCAAAAACTTTACAGAGAAAATCATTTCGATGATATGCTACGAGAGCCTGATGATATAGCTGCCAAGAAGAAAAGGGTTAGGAAAACACTAAGCATTCTGCAGCAGGCCTATAAGACGCTGGATGAGTTGCCACTTGAAGCTGATAATGTGGAAAAGGGTTATTCTCTGGATTCGGATTCAACCAGCTTGCCCAAAGTCCAGGGTCTACCTTCTTCATTCTGATGCAGTGCATCTCATAGTCGCGGCGGGTCCTAGTGACACGTCATTTTATTTGCTTTCTTTTCTTATTAATTAGTTTATTTACATGAGGTGATGGAGCAGCTTTCCGTTAGCTAATTCCTGCTCCATTCTCTTAGCTTTTCCTTATTTAGTTATTGGTACCGTGGCCTTTCTTTTATGCAGTCTTTGTTTTAGTAAGTTGCCAGTTTTGCTCTTGGCCGCTGGCTTTATCTTCTCCCTTGGAGGATGATGAAGGTAGTTGATGAAATATATTTTCAGGCAAACGCCTTTCTATTGTTCTTGCCTTCATTGTTAGTTTTCTGTGAGCCTACTTCTTTCACAGCATACCTTATCATCTGGTATCAGAGCCGGAGGCTCGGAGAGATGGCAGAGTCCAGCAAGCGTGCGACGAGCTAGGAGGACCGAAGTCTTGAGGCACTTTGGGCTGCGCACACTGGTATGGAGAAAAGATTGGATGATATGGCCGCGGCAATCGACAAGCTCACCGCAGTCTTACGACGTGAGCCGCCAATCACTAGAACAGGGGAACTACCGGTACGAATGGGAAGACCAGCTCCACCCATGGGAATGCCGGCAGTTGGGCACCGTGGATTTCCGGTTAGAGGACGGAGGCGAGCCACATTGCTCCCGGAACTATCTGAATCTGATGAAGAGTGGGACAGTTTCATTCCAGATGGCTTTTCAGATTTTGACGTGGACTTGGGTGAACGGAGACATCGCCGGCCTCTGGGACGTGATCGAAACAATGGTGAGTTTCATGTGAAACTCGATATTCCTTTTTTTAATGGACGATTGCACATAGAGGACTATCTTGATTGGGAACGCTCAGTGGAAAACTTCTTTGACTACATGGAAATTGAAACTGAAAAACAAGTCAAATATGTTGCCTGTCGGCTCAAGGGAGGGGTGAGTGCTTGGTGGTCGCAATTGCTACAGTCTCGTCGTAGAGAGGGGCGAGGCCCTGTCCGCAACTAGATGCGAATGAAACAACTATTGCGAGGACATTTCCTCCCCACAGATTATGAACAGATGTTATATTTAAAGTATCAACATTGTGTACAAGGCCAACGCTCTGTTAGTGAATACACATAGGAGTTTTATTGTTTGTCGGTACGTAATGATTTAAACGAGACTACGAACCAGCTGGTAGCTCGTAACATCGGGGGATTAAAAGACAGTATTCAGGACAAATTGGAATTAAATTCCGTTTGGTCCTTGTCGCAAGCTGTAAACTTTGCACTAAAGGCTGAGATCCAGTTGACACGGCAGTTGAGGAGCCATTCAAACAGAAGAACATTCGTGGACGTTGGAGCGGAACTTCCAAGACCACCTGGAACAGCCATATGGAAGACACCAACACAGACAGACAATAGTGGATTAGCGAACCAGAGCAAATCGATTACTGACCCGAAAGCTCCAATGAGACCGAAAGCACCTTTTAGAGAAAATCCTTATCCTCGACCACAGGGCCTCAAATGTTTCAGGTGTTTTCAACCTGGGCATAAGTCTAACGAATGCCCGAATCGACAGCAGCTGCAATTACTTGAAGGAGAGGAAGATGTTGATCAAGGTCAGTTGGAAGGATTTAATACCGAAGTTGAGGATGTGGTAGGAGATGAAGGTGACCCGTTAGTATGTGTCCTAGAGAAAATTCTATTGGCACCGAGACAGCAAGGTAACTCTCAGCGCCATGCTATTTTTAGAACCAAATGCACCATCTCTGGGAAGGTATGCGATCTCCTCATCGATAGCGGGTGCACCGAAAACGTAGTCTCCCGGGCAGTTGTTCAAGCATTACGAATAAAGACTATGAAAAATCCACATCCTTACAAGATAGGCTGGGTGAAGAAAGGAATGGAGATTATGGCGTCAGAAATGTGCCGAATACAATTCTCCATTGGTAAACACTATTCGTGTGAGGTGTTGTGCGACGTGGTGGAAATGGACGTGTGCCACTTGATACTTGGCCGTCCGTGGCAATTTGATGTGGGTGCCTTATATGATGGAAGAGCTAATACTTATTTGCTGGAATGGAAGGGAAAACGACTCCGATTGTTACCGCATTCGAATGGGCAAAAAGATGGTTCGGAGACCATCCGTCCCGTGCTCCATTTAGTCACAGGCAACAGTTATTGTCAAGCTGGAAGGAGGACACCCAACTATTTGCTCTAATCATCACAGAGGCTGCTCCAGACGGCATAACTAGTGGAGATCAAACTACAATTACGGCACTACTTGAACAGTTTCGAGATCTCCTGCTTGAAACGCCCTCGACATCCTTACCGCCCTTGAGAGCGTTACAGCATCAAATAGATTTTGTGCCCGGATCTACGCTTCCTAACTTACCACATCATCGGTTGAGCCCGAAAGAACATCAGACTTTGCAACAGTTAGTGGATGAACTGCTGAAGAACAATTTAATCCAGCCCAGTCTGAGTCCGTGCGCGATTCCGGCCCTGTTTGTTCCCAAGAAAGATGGAAGTTGGCGGCTGTGCATTGGCAGCCGCGTTATTAACAAAATTACTGTCAAATTCCATTTTTCGGTGCCACAGATAGAATAACTGTTGGAAAAGCTGACTGGTGCCACTATATTCTCTAAGCTAGATCTTTGCAGCGGGTACCATCAAATTCGAATCCGGCCTGGTGACGAGTGGAAAACGGCGTTCAAAACCCGCCATGGTTTGTATGAATGGAAGGTGATGTCGTTCGTGCTGTGTAATGCACCGTCCACTTTTATGCGGTTGATGAACGAAGTCTTGAAGCCGTTCCTCAATATCTCGTGCGTCGCATACTTCGACGATATTCTCATTTTCAGTTCATCTCTGGAGGAACACCGGACGCACTTGGCGGCCATATTCACGACCCTTCAACACAATCAACTATATTTGAATCCAAGTAAGTGTGCTTTTGCCGTCCATGAAGTCTATTTTCTTGGTTTTATTGTATCTGCCGCAGGAGTACAAGTAGACAACCAAAAGGTGGAGGCTATCCGAAATTGGCCAACTCCAAAATCATTTACGGATGTTCGGAGTTTCCATGGGTTGGCTAATTTTTACCGACGATTCATCAAGAACTTCAGCACCATAATGGCGTCGATCACCAACTGTTTGAAGTTAAAACAGTTTCACTAGGGAGGAGAACAGATAGATAGCTTCAAAGAAATCAAGATGGCATTATCTTCCGCTCCTGTGTTGGCCTTGCCCAACTTTGATAAACCTTTTCAGGTTGACACTGATGCCACCGGTGTTAGCATCGGAGCCGTCTTGAGTTAGGAACACAAACCAGTAGAGTTTTTCAGTGAGAAGATGTGTCCATCCAGACAAAAATGGAGTGTGTATGAGCAAGAGCTCTATGCGGTGATTCGGGCACTCAAATAGTGGGAACCTTATCTTCTTCACCAGGAATTTATTCTTTGCAGTGATCACCGAGCACTCCAGTTCATCAACCAGCAAAAACACAAATAGAATGCACGCTCGATGGATTTTATTTCTACAGCGATTCTCTTTCGTGTTGCAACACAAATCCGGGGCCCAGAATAAAGTCGCTGACGCCCTTAGCAGGCGGCATACTCTCATCGCACAGCTCCAGACCGAGATCACGGGATTAGAATGCTTAAAAGACTTGTACACCACCGATGGCGACTTTTCAAAAATCTGGGAGGAATGTTTGGGTGGTGACACTATTAAACACTTCTCCATTCGTCATGGATTCTTATTTCACCAAAACCAGCTTTGTATTCCAGATTCATCTTGGAGGCCGCAACTCATCAAGGAGGTTCATTGCGGTGGACTCGCGGCACATTTGGGGAGAAATAACACTTATCTACAGCTGAAATGTAGATTTTTTTTGCCGCATTTGCATCGGGATGTCATGAGGTTCGTTGAGAGGTGTCCCATTTGCCAAAGCTATAAGACCGGCGGGCAACTCAGCGGATTATACTTACCACTACCTACGCCAGACACTATTTGGGAAGATTTGAGTCTCAATTTCGTACTGGGGCTACCACGTACTCGTCGTGGTCACGACTCGATCATGGTCGTTGTTGATCGATTTTCCAAAATGGCTCACTTCGTGCCATGTAAGAAAAGACATTCGACGCCTTGAATGTCGCTCGTATTTTCTTCACTGAAATTGTGCAACTACATGGCGTACCGCGAAGTTTGATGTCAGATCGGGATGTCAAATTTGTTAGCAACTTCTGGAAGGAATCATGGAGGAGATTACACACGGACATCAAACTCAGCTCCGCTTATCATCCACAGACAGACGGACAGACTGAAGTTGCGAATCGAACTCTAGGGAATCTCCTTCGTTCCTTAGTTCAAGATCATCCAAAACTGTGGGATGATTTGTTGGGACAAGCCGAATTCACCTATAATAGTATGACCATCCGGTCTACCGGAAGGAGCCCCTTCAGTGTAGTATATACGAAACATCCGAATCACACCGTGGATGTCGCCGTGATTCCGAAATGCGCTAGTCAGCCGGCTGCAGATTTTGCTGCTCAATTTGCTAAGATGATCCAGGAAGTGAAGGAGAAGCTCACTGACTCTAATTTAAAGTATAAAGAAGCTGCTGATAAAAATTGAAGAGTTCGAGTTTTCAAGCCGGATGATTTAGTTATGATTCGCATCCAGAGGGAATGGTTTCTGGCCGGTACCTATTCAAAACTGAGCCCTCGTAAGATCGGACCATTTACTGTGCTTAAACAGATAAATCCCAATGCATACGTGATTGATTTACCTAAGCACTATAACACCTCCAGCACATTCAACATAGGTGATCTCACGGTTTATCATCCACCTGATGCCGCCCCGACTAATCTTTCATCCACAGATTCAGATTCTTCTATTAGCAGGGGAGAATGATGCAGTGCATCTCATAGTCACGGCGGGTCCTAGTGACACATCATTTTATTTGCTTCCTTTTCTTATTAATTAGTTTATTTACATGAGGTGATGGAGCAGCTTTCCGTTAGCTAATTCCTGCTCCATTCTCTTAGCTTTTCCTTATTTAGTTACTGGTACCGTGGCCTTTCATTTAGGCAGTCTTTGTTTTAGTAAGTTGCCAGTTTTGCTCTTGGCCGTTGGCTTTATCTTCTCCCTTGGAGGATGAAGAAGGTAGTTGATGAAATACATTTTCAGGCAAACGCCTTTCTATTGTTCTTGCCTTCATTGTTAGTTTTCTGTGAACCTGCTTCTTCCATAGCATACCTTATCACATTCTACTCGACATCAAATGATTTTAGTTCACCTTACACTGCTTCTTCAAAAAACCAGAGATCAAGGAGATCAACCCACTTCGGCGAATAATTCTCATCTTTGTATCCTAGCTCTGATGCGCCAATAGACTAGACTCTTATCCTTCAGTCGAAGCATAAGACCACCTGACGCAGAAAATAAGCTGGTTTGTTATTTAAGATGACCTTCCATGCCTGATTTCTCATCACACCATCTTATATTTGAAGTCTTGAAGGTTATTCTTTAAATGTCATTTTCATCCCATGCATGACAAGAGGTCCTTGTATACTAGATGGGGTCTTTATTGCTTAAAATTCTATTTCTTGATATATATTTTTTACTCATGGAAGAAGAACATGAGCTGCTAGATGATATGTGCATTTGCTAAAGTTTTAATGTAATCAAATGGAGTGTTGTTGGCTGTATGCTGCCAAAATCTTACAATTTAAAGATATCTATATTTTGTTTAAACAAAAAAAACTATTTAATTAATGAATTAAATGATTAATAATTAATTAAAGCGTAGTTATTATGTTAATATATGGAATTTAAATTTCTATAATATACAATCACAAAGTTCTAAAATAATAACATTTTCTTAATGTTATAATTAATTAAGATTTATACTTTAACATTTTATTTTTAAAATTATGAATTATTAAAATGACAAAATTTGAATATTTATTAATTAATGAATTGTGTTATTAATTTCTGGTATATGCATAAATTAAAAATATAATACAAATAAATATATGAATTCGTTGTATTTAAATATAGAAATAATTGCAATTAAAATCTTTGGCATTTCCAACAATTTGGTTGTTACTTTAATGCAATTAATGTAAATAAAATTAAGAAAATATCATACATTTAATTAAATAAATGAAGTTCAAATAAATTAAATGTATAAATAAATAAATGGTTTGGAAATATCTTTGATAAACAAAAATGAAGGCTAAGTTTGTTTTCCGGAAACACTATATGTTATATTCCATATAAAATATTAGCAATATTTTATTTTCTTGACTGTTAAAAAAAAAAGTTTGAGATCCACGCCATTTCATTGATGTTTGTTTTTTATCTGTCTCCAAAAAAATGAATGTAAGGAAAAAAATTATTAGTTTGAATGATAATTTTTTTTTTATATTTTTTTTAACTGCACTAACAATCAACCATTTATAATTGCAGGAAATATGTAACAACAATAAGGCTTTTGAAGAATTAAAATTAATTATGCACTAACAATTGGTTTTTTTTGTTAAAAATAATATAAGGCACGCTTTCATGAACATTCGAGTGCAAGAACTTACTCTCGATTTTCTCTACCGCCAGTCTGCGGCCTTCGTCGCAGCTAACACAGTCGTAGCCGGTACCAACAATCATTTGAAAGCTACATGCCACCATCCTAAAATTTTGGAGCATTAATCTCTTGTTTATGTTGATAAAAATATTTTTAAAAGATGAACATGATTGAAAAAAATTAAAAAGCACTTTAATATTTGATATATTAAAAAAGTTATTTTGTGCATTCTCCTTGCACAATCTTTCTAATGCTTTACATTCTTCTTACCCTTCAAATTAACAATTTTCATGAATAAAATCTTTTTGTAAGCTTACCAAACTAGTCATTAAAACATAAATACGTAAATCATATGAAATCGAACTTATCAATACAACAAATTTCACTAAGCCTAAATCAGACAAACTTCGAATGAAAAAAATTGTGTCAATCACTTACCAAAATTAAAGATTATAGTTGCTGGATCCTTTGGAGTCTTATTTTACATACTGCTATTTAGTTTGGAGCCCAAACAACTGAATCATAATAAAAAAAAATCACATATCGACATCAAATAAATTTTGGATTTAAAAGCCGCTCTATCATGTATTTTCCCAGTACAAAATATATTATCAGACTTGCAAAAAATAATTATTGTGTACATAATTATATATAACAATACCCAATAATATAAGCTTTGATATACTGCAATACACATTAATGCAAAGCAAATATATATCAGAGAAAAAACATCAAATTTTCTATTATGTATTTTTGTGTACGAGCTTCAATATACATCAATACGTAGCAATACAAAAGAAGTATCAAAGAAAAAACCAAATTACCTACTATGTATTGTTGTGTACAAGCTTCGATACAAGCAATAAACGACAATACAAATTTTCAACATAATTGAAACTAGTAGGTATTTTTTTGTTTTGGGTGTGAATGCTTCCCTTTGCTTCCTCAACATTCCCGGTCCAAACTTCATCCGAATTCGACTTCCTGCATATTCCTTGGATATGCAGTTAATCAAAAAGGATACAAATGCCTTCATAAAGACACAAATCGAATTACTGTTTCCCGTCATGTTAAATTTATAGAAAATTTGTTTCCCTTTCATCAAACTAATTATGTCTGCGCTACTACACCTCAGGATATACCCGCTTCAATGCTATTACCTACATCAGTGATTCATCAGGATCTACCTCCTTCACAACAACTCAGACCAACCTCAAATCACGATACCACGTCCAATTATCCATTGCGGCCTAGATCAACAGACAACTCCAGTCATCAGTCAGAACCTCTAACGGTCTCAACAACATCTGACTCGGTTCAGCTACCTCGTCACCATATGGTTACCAGAAGGAAAACTGGATCACTTAAACCAATATGCAAACTAAATCTATTTAATTCAACAACATCGGCTCACGATTTGCCAGAACCACAAAATTTCTCTGAAGCCAGTAAATGTCAAGAATGGAGATAGGCTATGGCGGACGAGTTTCTAGCTCTACAAAAACAGGGCACATGGGATCTACTTCCACCACCTCCAGCTGCCTCTATTCTGGGATGTAAATGGACATTCCGCAAGAAATATAATGCTGATGGCACAATAGCAAGATTCAAGGCAAGACTGGTCGCTCAGGGAAATCGTCAAGAACACGGGCTGGACTATGATGAAACATTTAGTCCGGTAGCGAAGCTTCCCACAATTCGTCTAATGTTCACAATCGCTCTCCATAACGGCTGGCAGATTAAGCAACTGAATGTGGCAAATGCCTTTCTTCACTGGGCATCAACATAGCCACTGAACCAGCTCAGTATTTCCTCTCCCAATCTTCTTATGCTCAATCCATTCTTCAACAAGTTCATCTTCTAAATTGTAACCCCTTAACCAACCCCTCCTGTACCAAACTTCCTTCTCAAATGCTGCAGGACAAGGAACTGTCGGACCCGAACGTCTATCGCAGGATCACAGGAGCACTGCAGTACCTAACGATAACACGCCCCGACATTGCATACGCCGTCAATATACTATCTCCGCATATGCATAATCCCGAGCCTCAGCATTACTATCTCCTCAAAAGGCTCCTGAGGTATATCAAAGGAACGTTAACGTTCGGCCTACCCATCACAAAATCCAGTCTTCATCTTCGGACATTCTCTGATGCGGACTGGGCGGGAGACCCGATCACACGCAAATCTACCTCTGGCTATTGCACATTCCTAGGTGACAACCTGATTTCCTGGACGGTGAAGAAGCAAAAGACCATCTAAACCATCCTTGGGTCTAGAAACTGATGCCGCTAGTTTTGAGGCCTTGACTTGTTGCTGTGCAATCAACACAGCCTTACTTCCTCCAACAAAATTTGGATGTGAAGTGTTTATATAATCCATCTCCATTTCAATTAGGTGGGTTATCATTGTTTCTGCTGGCTGAAGTCCTTCTCGTAAGAAATTTCCAATTACCTCGTCCATATCAGTACATCAATAACAAATATATATTATCGTAATCCAATAGGAATATTACACGTAGGCACCTGTATTTATTTCTGTCTATATATAGTCGTTTCACTCTGTAATCACATATATGAAAATATACAATAACCTTTCTCTGTTACGGTAGAACAAGAAAGATTCTTCTTCATTCTCTTTTTTGCAATCTTCTTCTTCTAAGTTTCAACATGGTATCAAAAGCGGGTTGAGTTTCTGGACATCAACCCATGGCCTCCACTGCTTCTGCATCCTCCGCCGTCTCCGGCAGCACAGGTGCCATTACTGATTCCTCTCAGATATATCCCTCGCTCAAATTTATTGTTTCCAATCTCAAAACATTAGTTCTGCATCAACTTTCGCTGGAAACGTATCCCATTTGGAGAAATCAAATTCTCAAAGTTTTCAAGGCAAATGGCTTTGTCAAGTTCTTGGATCCTCCGTCCTCTGATGCCAGATCTTCAAGAAATCAAGAATCTGGCTCTGACGACATCAACAGTTGGCTCATTACCGACCAAAACCTGGCGGCAGCGCTCTGTTCAACCATCTCAGCCCCAATCTTACCTTATGTGATGCATCTTGAAGCGACACATGAAATCTGGCATGCGCTTCAAGCACGGTTTCAATCTTCTTGCCGTTCAAAAGTGATTCAACTCAAAAATGAGTTACATAATATTTCCATGAAGAATCAGTCAATGCAAACCTACTTGTCTGAAATCAAGAAGCTGGTAGATAATATCGCATCGGCCGGGGCTACCATTGATACCGAAGATATCATTCTCTATATCCTAAACGGATTATCTTCGGCCTATTAGTCGTTCAAAACGACAATTCGAACAATGCAGTCCAATATGACATTGGAGAACTTATAGGCCCTCTTAATTAGCGAAGAGATACACATTCAAGCTGATCTCCAGCTTCTTGACATCCACCCGGACAACAATACTGCGCTATATGCTAACAGGGTGCGAAGCCGTCGTGGCAGGGGTCGCAGCAATCAGCCAACCAGCGCGACTAACAAAACAACTCCAAGATCTTCTCTCCAATGTCAAATATGTACTAAAAGAGGTCACACAGCCGACATATGCTGGCATCGTCACAACGCAAATTACATCACTCCAAAACAGTCGTCTGAAAATGCCAATGCACTTATGGCTACAACAGATACCTCATCTAATGACTGGTATCTAGATTCCGGGGCGTCGACACACATGAAGAACAGCTCTGAGAATCTTGATCAAGCCTCCGTGTACACCGGCTCTGACCACGTATCCGTTGGGGACGGGAGAACCATACCGATTGCTCATTCGGGAACTGGTATCCTTCCAACCCCAGATCGTAAGTTGTTTTTATCTAATTTACTACATATCCCATCTATTTCTCACAATCTCTTGTCTATGTCAAATTTAGTTGCCGCTAATCAAATATCAATTACGTTTTTTCCTGATGGCTTTATTTTCAAGGATTTACAGACTCACAAGGTCATCCTTCAAGGACCCTGTAGGAAAGGGTTGTATCCGCTAACTGTCAAGAAAGCTTCTTCCCAGCTTAAGGCAATGTCTGCTTCGCAAATGCAATCAATAAACTGGCATACTAGATTAGGACATCCGCACAACAGAGTTCTCCAGCTAATCGCCTCAGCCAACCCGTCGCTGCATATACCAAGAAGTTACAATCCATGTATTCCGTTTAACGTCTGTAAGAGTCATAAGTTGTCATTTGACAATTCTGTATACCGGTCTCTTAAGCCTTTAGATTTCATTCATTCCGATGTATGGGGTCCCTCCCCCGTTATCTCGCACCAACATTTTTGATATTATCTTCTATGTGTAGATGATTACTCAAGATTTTGCTGGTTGTTTCCTCTAATAAATAAATCTGATGTCGCAAAAATGTTTATTAATTTTATTACATTTATTGAAAGACAGATAGGTCGCAAAATCAAAGCCTTCAGAATCGTTGGAGGAGGGGAGTTTGTCAATAGCACATTTCAACATCATCTCCAAGCCAACGGTATCCAGCATCAAACATCTTGCTCGTACACACCTGAGCAAAACGGAGTTGCTGAACGCAAGCATCGGCATATTTTAGACACGGCGAGAACTCTTCTCCAGACGGCATCGGTTCCTCATTTGTTTTGGCCAGACGCCGTGACAACAGCAGTCTACCTTATTAACTGTCTCCCGTCCCCTAACACTGCCAATCAAGCTCCCATTACACTCATGTTTAATACTAAACCTGACTATTCTTCTTTCAGGACATTTGGGTGTGAATGCTTCCCTTTGCTTCCTCAACATTCCCGGTCCAAACTTCATCCGAATTCGACTTCCTGCATATTCCTTGGATATGCAGTTAATCAAAAAGGATACAAATGCCTTCATAAAGACACAAATCGAATTACTGTTTCCCGTCATGTTAAATTTATAGAAAATTCGTTTCCCTTTCATCAAACTAATTATGTCTGCACTACTACACCTCAGGATATACCCGCTTATATGCTATTACCTACATCAGTGATTCATCAGGATCTACCTCCTTCACAACAACTCAGACCAACCTCAAATCACGATACCACGTCCAATTATCCATCGCAGCCTAGATCAACGGACAACTCCAGTCATCAGTCAGAACCTCTAACGGTCTCAACAACATCTGACTCGGTTCAGCTACCTCATCACCATATGGTTACCAGAAGGCAAACTGGATCACTTAAACCAATATGCAAACTAAATCTATTTAATTCAACAACATCGGCTCACGATTTGCCAGAACCACAAAATTTCTCTGAAGCCAGTAAATGTCAAGAATGGAGATAGGCTATGGCGGACGAGTTTCTAGCTCTACAAAAACAGGGCACATGGGATCTACTTCCACCACCTCCAGCTGCCTCTATTCTGGGATGTAAATGGACATTCCGCAAGAAATATAATGCTGATGGCACAATAGCAAGATTCAAGGCAAGACTGGTCGCTCAGGGAAATCGTCAAGAACACGGTCTGGACTATGAAGAAACCTTTAGCCCGGTCGCGAAGCTACCCACCATCCGTCTAATGTTCACTGTTGCACTCCACAATGGCTGACAGATTCAGCAATTGGACGTGGCTAATGCGTTTCTACACGGCACATTAAATGAAACCGTGTTTATGCAGCAACCAACTGGATTTGAAGATAAAATCAATCCACATTACGTATGCTGTCTTCGCAAAGAAATTTACGGCCTCAAACAGTCACCGAGGTAATGGTACACCACTTTCACCGATCATCTTCTCAGCATCGGGTTCCGTCACAGTCGAGCAGATCCTTCACTCCTCACCTTCGTTCAAGACAAAATTAAAATTTACTTGCTAGTATACGTCGACGATATACTTATCACAGGGAACCAAGAAAGTGCCATAGCCAATCTGATATGCAATCTTTATTCCAGATTCAATATGAAAAATTTAGGACCGGCAAAACACTTCCTGGGCATCAACATAACCACCGAACCAGCTAAGTATTTTCTCTCTCAATCTTCTTATGCTCAGTCTATTCTTCAACAAGTTCAACTTCTACATTGCAATCCATTAGCAAACCCATCCTGTACCAAATTTCCTTCTCAAATGCCGTAGGACAAGGAACTGTCGGTCCAGAACGTCTACCGCAGAATCACCGGCGCACTACAGTACATGACGATAAGTCGCCCTGACGTTGCCTACACAGTCAATATTCTTTCTCAGCATATGCACAATCCCGAATCTCAGCATTACTATCTCCTCAAACGGCTACTCCGGTACATCAAGGGAACCATAACATTTGGTCTACCCATCACAAAATCCAGTCTTCACCTTCAGACGTTCTCTGATGCGGACTGGGCGGGAGACCCGATCACTCGCAAATCCACTTCAGGATATTGTACGTTTCTCGGTGACAACTTGCTCTCCTGGACGGTGAAGAAACAGAAAACGGTATCGCGATCCTCGACTGAGTCCGAATATCGGGCGCTCGCAGCCGCCACAGCTGACATTCTCTGGCTACAGCGGCTATTGTCAGATTTCGACATAGTGCTATCGGAGCCAACGCAGCTACACTGTGATAATACTTCAGTCATAGCGCTTGCCCACAACCCGGTGTTTCACGCCAGAACCAAGCACATTGAAATCGATCAGAGATTTATTCGTGACAACATTCAAAATCACAACATTAGACTCTTCCTGATTAGCACCGTCGATCAAATTGCAGATATCCTAACAAAGCCTCTATCCACGGCACGATTCAAACTGCTTCGGGACAAACTAACAATCCAACAAGATCCGTTAGCTTGCGGGGGGATATCAGTACATCAATAACAAATATATATTATCGTAATCCAATAGGAATATTACACGTAGGCACCTGTATTTATTTCTATCTATATATAGTCGTTTCACTCTATAATCACATATATGAAAATATACAATAAGCTTTCTCTGTTACGGTAGAACAAGAAAGATTCTTCTTCATTCTCTTTTCTGCAATCTTCTTCTTTTAAGTTTCAACAATCCATGCACTTCCGCAGAACAGGACATCGATGAAGCTCATTAGCTAGGCTGTGATGGCTCATCTTAATCAATTCATCATAGATGAATTTGGCACACTGGAAGCTTGGATCTAGTAAACGACCAATCTGCCTTCTTACAAGAACTTCAAATGGAACCTCAGGTGCAAACAAAGCACTTTTCGGACCAGTGGCATTTTGAATAGCCATGCGAATGTCCTCATCACTGACATCTTCACAAGGATCAACTTCCTCTAAACTCTTCACAAAAATTGACTGGAAAATATAATGAATTCGTGCCCCACCAGAAAGCTCAGCTGTTGATAATTCCTCATTTTTTCCCTCAATCATTGAAGTAAAAGCTTCACAGTATTTCGTAAGAATGTTCAAAAGTTTCTCACCCTGTCCAGCCTTTGATTCTACAACATCCCCATAGGCAGCATGCTCTTTTGCAACAGCCACCAACTGGGAATTTATGCGAGACTTCAATCCCGGAAGAACTGCCCTGATATGTTGCACCAAAATCTGATTCAATTTCTTAGCTAATTTAGGAATTCCACAACAATGAGAGAGCCCATGATATACAGGCTGACGTCGAAAGAACGTCTCTTCATTAGCCAATGCATCTTTTATGCTTCGATTTAGATTGATATCCTGTTGACTACGGTTAACCACACCAACATAGCCAAGTCGAAGTGGAATCACATTTCCCAGCAGAAAATTTCGTGCATCAGTACATTTGTCCATTATATCTAGCTTTGTGATGACACCAATTGTTCGCGAACCATCTGGGTCAACAATCCTCGCCATTTGAAGTGCATCAGAGTTTGATAAATCTGCATTTGCCGGTGAAACTGCCAATATTATACAAGTTTCATGCTTGATGTATGATAATATTATTGTTCTGATTCTAGCCTCAATGTCATTTGGTTGATCACCAACTGGAACCTTCGTTATTCCGGGTAAATCAACCAGAATAATATTGAGAACATTAGGCGAAAAAATTATTAAATGAATTTGCTTGTCCGAAACTCCTTTATTTCCCCCAGCTTCACGGTCTGTTTCAGCCAGAATCTCACGCCGGATCTCCGAGAAGTCGTAGAACCTATTGCCTGGAATGTGCAAGAACTCGCCCCACTCCTCCATGTCTCCAGCAGACGCATCTTGCTTTCGGGTGAAATGAACGAGTTTCAGCACCAGCGGGCGTCGTGTGCAAATATCGGAGCCACGCGGCAAGAAATCGCGGCCTACCAGCGCCTCCAATACGCTCGACTTTCCACTGCTGTGGCTCCCAACCACCGCCACCTGCGGTAGGTCGATTGTCGACGAGCTCCCCAGCTGCGCAAAGATGTCCTGCAGCTTGTTCACGATTGGAATCACTGATCTCCCAATAGGTCCCGGCGTCGCCGGCTGGGAGGGAGAGGGGACTGCGTTGGAGCCAGCAAATGTGTCTTCAGTCATTAGATTATTCCTCCCACTCCTTGATCGACATTCTATAATGTATTCAAAGAATTAAAATATGATTTAAAAAATTCATTTTCCTATATATATATATATATATATATATACACAGCACCTTTATTGATGAGCCTCCAATGTAAAATTAATGAATCCTCCATAGAGGATAGTTTCATATCCAATGAATTAATCTATAAAGAGCAATAACAGATCACCAACATGGCTAGATTAACAACTATACAAATGTTTATCCAAGCACAACTAAATTCAACACAATTATTATCACCAACCAGGATAACATAATCTACTTAAATTATTAAGTTTGACTAACTTAATTAAAAAAAAATAAATAAAGACTTGAAGAGCAACATGCTCAAATTTGGCTTTTTTAATCTCTCGATTTGGCTTTTTTAAACTACATTTCTTATTTCTGGATAGTTTACACAAAATGAGCTTAAGGTTCTATATTTATTGATGCCTTGCATGCATGCTATCAACTAATTGTAATATATATTTTATATTTTAGAACTAAGAAAATAAAACTTCATTCTGATGGGACTGTTGGTCCCAATGGTGCTGGTGCAGGTGGGATTATTAGAGATTATCTTGGTAATGTGATTGCTGCTTACTCTGCCCCCATTCTTACTTCTTCTGCTATATATGCTGAGCTCAATGCGCTCTTATACGGTATGAATATTTGTGCCAATTTGGGTTTTAATTTTATCTGGATTGAGGTGGATGCTTTGTTGCTTATTCAAATTATTAATAATCTCATCCCTGCCAATCCGAATTTGTTTTACCTCATTAGGCAAATTAAGCAATCTCTTGCCACCTTCACTTATTATATCTCTCATATTTATCGTGAGGCTAATGTTTGTGCGGATTGGTTAGCTAAAAGAGGTTGCATTATCCATAATTATGAGGAATTAGACACTACTTGTCTGCATCCGCAGTTACAAGGTATGATCCGTTTCGATAAATCTGGTTTATCTTATGTTCGACATGTTTAGCTCCTTTGCTCTTAGTCCTGGGTGGTTTGTGCTATTTCTTTGCCTTATGCTGATCGACTGCACCTTTTCGTGCAACTTGCTTCTTTCCTGTTATTATTACTACATGCTGGACTCTTCTTCTATTTCTTACAACTTTGCTTTCTTCATCTCTGTTGGTTGGCTAAGTTCTTTAGCGGGTTTTTGCTTCTCTGTTACTGCTTATATTTCTCACTATGTCATTGTTAGTTCTGTGTTTTTCATTGACACTGCTCAGTTCTTCCGCAGTAATTTTTATCTTTTCTGGGTCTGTTGTTGTTGTTGCCACACATTAGTTACGAACTACTGCTCTTCTTCATGTATGGATCATTTTAAATCTATTTCTAGTGATTTCAGGAGGTGGTTTTATCTTTGGTGTTTTTGTATCAATAGGTTGATTCTGGAGTTTATTGTATTTACTTTTCTTTCAGTTCATATGCTTACACTCTGTGTTGGTATTTTGGTGAAGAATCAGTTTCCTTAGCTTGGATTAACTGTTTTCTGCCTTATATCTTTTTTTGGAGATTTCCTTGCAGGATTTTTATCAATCTTCGGATTTTAGATGCTATGTCTACAAGGTAATCTCTTTTGCGTTTTTGGGTTGCTTTCTTACCTTTTGCAGGAAGACAGAGCTGATAGGTCATACCATTCTCTTCCTTTTTTGGGTGCTGTTGCCTCACAGCCCTAGCTTTATTTTTTGTTATTTTTGTAATCGTAGAAAAAGGATCCACCAGCTCTTAGGTTTTTATTTTCCTTTTTCAATGTAGCTCTTTCGAGCAGTAGCGAGCTGGAGGAACCTTCTAAGAATTTTTGTAACCGATTTTTAAATATTAACGCGTAGGCCCCATGAGTGGGTTTAAAAAAAAAACTAAGAAAATAAAAAATATATATATTATATAAAATTTCTTATGCTTTCCTTATTATACTCTTAACATTCATATTAATTTTCTCTCTTTTGTGAATTTGCTTTTACCATCATTGTAATATACGTTATTGATATTTGTAACAAATCTCAATGCATCAAATAAATAGAATTATATTTAAAAAAATAAGAAAGTTCACAGTATTGAAAGCTAAAATATGCATATTAAAGCTAAAAGAAAATGTAGAGCTTTTAAAATATTAAAGAAAATCGTTTTAAACAATAAAAAATAATTTTTCGAAAATATTTATCTGAAGATGATTACTTAACTGCAGTAGATAAAATCATAAGAAAAAATGCTTGGATGAATTTTTATAAATGAATCGGCCACTTTTCAAGCTGGCTCAAAAAGCAGCACTTACTACTTCCACTGAGAAGTGGCCCGCACGAAATAGGTTAAATCAACTGATTAATGGTGGAAGTGGCTTTTAGCATTTTGAATTTTTCTAAATTATTAGATTTTAATTTTTAACCTTCTTTCAATATCAGAAACTTTGAATATAAAACTCGAAACTATAGTAGATTTTTATCAACGAAAATAAAAATATGCTACAATCAATCAAAAAATTAAAGATTTAATGAAGCTAATTATCAAAGTTTTTCTTAATTAATAGTTAAGATATAATCATTATGATTAGGTATTTAATCCAAAGGTTATTTCTCAAATCATCCTGTTCATGATAATTATCATGAAGTTATGAATAGTATTGGAATAATCATTATGTAATTAAAAGACATGAAAGAATTTTGGCCGGTGATAGCTTACGAATTGGAAGAAGTAGAGGTTTAGAGATAATGTGGTTTGTTATGAAATAGATAAAGCCAGATTGGATAATTAGTAAAGGGGAATGTGAAGATCTTGGCTTCAAATTAGATAGTGAAACAATTGGTGTATGATTTGTGGGATTAAAAAAAATTTTGCCAAGATTATGATCGAATAGGAAGAAAATCTAAATTTTCAGATTCATGACGTCTAGTCTAATATGTATTGCATGGTTTTCTTGTTTTTAATTTAAAATGTTCTAACTCAGCTTGAATTTTAAATTTAAAATGTTCAATCTCATCTAATAAGTATTTTATATTCTCTAATGATTGCATGATTTTCTTGTTTGTAATATGAGGTTAACTTTTCTGTCAAACTATAGATAGTTGACATCTAGGCTAATTAAGTCAAACACACACCACATATGCAAAGTTGGAACCCAAAAATTTTTTTGTTGATAGTCAAAGCTCCCAACTAATAAATCAAGGGAGAGCTATATACAAATAGTTATAAAAGCATGACGTTAATCCACTTTAGAAACAAAAATTGATTAAAAATCATGTAACTTAAAATTAAAATTAAAACTTTTTATTTTAGATATATAATTTTATATTATAATTAACTTTGATTAAAATTTATTGAAAATTAGAATAATTAATAAATTATTATAATTCTTTAGTATTTGAAATAGATAGACAATTAATGTCACTTTTGTATATTAGAAATAGAGTATTTAAACTAAAACTTGAAATTAGTGTAAGCCTTTTAAATAATTAGGAGAACATGTTTATAAAATTTAACTCTTCATACTAGTCAAAGAATGCATTAATCAAAATATTACATTGTACGTATGGTTAAAGAGATAAAAAGACATCATAAATAAAAGCATTAATCAAATTGATAAACTTAATGAAGGATGCCCTTAGCACTCATCTTATTGAGATTAACATATTTATTCATTTTATCGAAGGCCTTATGAAGGTTCATTCTCATACATGTCGAGGTATCGATGCTCTTTAAAATATCTATATGAAACGTGCAATTTATGTAAATTGGCATGTTCTTGATAAAGATAATCGAAGGGGGAGGAATAAGCAATAAAAGAACCTCATTGATATGGCTTGCTAAAATCTAAGAGATAACTTTACATAAAGTATTATAGAGTAGCATGGCTTGTAATCATATAAGTAGTTGGAATGTAGTTGCTTAGGTATGAGAGCAATATTTAGCTGCTTGATCATTTCTAGAAGCTTGTTATTGAATAAAATGATCAACAACAAATATAACTTGTGAAAGGACAATCTCCCAACTACTAGAAAGAGAATTTAGAGATAAAACTATTTAAAGTAGCAGATTGATCTTTACTAATATTGAAAATATCATAATTAATTTACAATGTAGTAAGAATATTTTGGATGTCATAAGAGAGGATAACATTGATAAAGAAGTTGGCTACATGCATTGTTATCCCAAGAGATTAAGATAAAGAGATCACACAAGTTCACAAGTTTAATAGGTTAGGATAATACTTTACTTGAATTACTCCACAAGAAATTGACAAAAAAAAAATCACAAAATGAAATACATGAGATTTATAATGACAAGTTGAATGAGTTAAACCTATTTTAATGCCTGTTGAAGAAAATATCGAATATTTTCAAAGAAGAAAGAATACAAGTTTATGAGAGAATAAATTTTCCACACAGATTCGGAGTACTTTTATTCTTGTGATCGAATACCCCATTGAGAAAAGCTTATTATCTCAAGAGATGGACATGACATTCTATAATGTATTCAAAGAATTAAAATATGATTTAAAAAAATTCATTTTCGTAGTCGAATATAACAAAAATAATAACATATTATCTCGAAAGGCAAACATGTTATTCTAGAATAATATTTAAAAACTAAAATGGAGTTTTAAAAAATTATGATTTCTGATATTAATACAATAGCGAGAATACTATATCATCTTGAAAGGTAAACATGAAATTCTACAAAGATATTTGAATGCAAAAAAAAAGATTTTAAAAAATAGTCTACATTCCCAAATATTTTTTCTCTATCTTCACTATAGGAAAATCTCTCATTTTTGGCAGATTTTTCGGCGAAATATTTGATAGTTTCCGATGGATTTTAAAAGTTTCTGATGGATTTCAGATGAAATTTTGTTCGCCGATAAATCGAGTGTCAAAAATTTATTCCGTCATAAGAAATCTGTCGGAATTTTTTTTCCGGGGCGAAAAAAACCTGCTGGAATAAATAAAATGTTTTAAAACAATTCCTTCCCGCCAACCCGCAGGCAAGCATCCTGCGGGGGAGAACCCGCGCGAGTGAACTTCCCGCCGCTGTCGTCCCTCGGGCGAACAGCCGCCACGCCTCTGTGCGTCTGACGCTCTGGCTAGAACCGCACCCTTCCCGCGGACGAACCGTAAAATCTGTCAAAAAATCAGTAGGAAAAATTTAATCTTTATCCATCGAAAATCCGTCATAAAGACCGCCGAAAATCCGCCAGAATATTCTGCCGGTATTGGGCCGTTTTCCTGTAGTGGTTATAAGAAAAAGATAGAATTTATTTTATTCTAGAGTTACATATTCCCCTAGGAGATGTGAATCTTCTAGAAACACTCTTGACTAAAGTAGTGATAAATAATTTGTTAGATTTCAAAGTAAAAGTCAAAGGTAAGAGGTTTTGGAGTTTATAAGTGATTTTTTTTTTTTTTTGAAGAAAATGCAAAAATTGCATTAAAAAAAGAAAAAGAAGACAAACTAAGGTTTCACCATATTAGATTCCTCCTTTATAATAGACATGAAAAGAGGAGGAATCTTATCTATGATTACATCTTCCCAAACAAAAGTACTCATTATTCCATAGTTAGCACAAAGATCAGCTAACTTATTAAAATTTCTATCAACTAAATTAAAAAAATATGTTGAAATTCATTAAAGGGATAGCAGTCATCATACCTCAAAGGATCTTTATAATTAGTATTTTGCAAGTACCTTATGACATTAGCATTGTCTCCTTCAATTATAATGCCCTTGTACTTGAACATCCAATCCTTGATCATCTCTTTGAAAGATTGAATTGCCAACATTTCCAAAGATGCAATATCCCAATGAATATAAGATTTACCAAAAGCCAAGAGAAATCTTCCTTGATGATCTCTTACAACACCACCAATACCGGCTTTATAAGAAGGAAGGAGGGAAGCATCCACATTGACCTTAAGCCAATCGGGTGGAGGGGGATACCAATGAGTATTGAACAGTCTAAAAGACTGCTTAGTATCCCATTTACCCGAGAAATTAATAGATCCTTGAGCCATTGTAGAAGAATAGCTCACAGCATTAGATCCAATGATCAATGAGCTTATTTCTTTGTCATTATGAATCAAATTGTTCCTGGATTTCCAAGTAAAGAAAACCACATTGCAATATAAGTTGATTATAAAAGTGTTTTGAAGAGAAAGCCATTTATTGCATTCCAAAAGTGAGTTGAAATTTGGAATATGAAATCCCCATTTATCCATCAATTGAAATTTTTCTTTCAGCTTTTTACATCTAGCAACCACATGATTTAAGTCTTCATCTTCCATACAGTTTCTTGGACAAAGACTAGAGTAATGCAATCTTCTACGTTCAAGAAATTTGCAAGTAGGAATGGCATCGTTGAATATCCTCGACCAGAAGTTCTCCACCCTTGGATTCAATTTGGCTTTTTTGATCCAGCTCCAATAATTCGGGTAATCCGAAAGATTTTCAGTATGCTGAATAATCAATGCAGAAATTGATTTTCCACTCAATTGATTCATCAATTCTCTCTTGTCTTCTTCAAAATTATTGTAGATCTTAACTTGTGAAATTAAGTTGACAAGATCATTACCCATATGGTTTTTGATAGTTTCCAAATTCCATCTATCATTATTGATAAAGTTTGAAACAGGGAATCTGCTTCCATCATTAGGAGTAACAAAAGTTGGCCATTTGTTTAAACTTTTGTCTAATATCCATTTATCATTAAAAGCATCAATATCATTACCATTGACAACTTTCCATCTAATGATTGTGTTTAGAGATTTACCTCCATCAGTAAGTATTTTCCAAGTTGAAGATCTTGATCTCATAGAGAAGTTTCCATCCAGAATATTGCCATATTTCGGGTAGAGCATTTTAT